TAATAATGGCACCTCAGATGGAAGCTGGTAATATACTTAGAAATAAAATCAGTGAAAGATGATAGCTCATTCAATTTGTTACTGTTTACTACAAGCATTACCAGAACAGGCAGACCTCACAATGACACATGGACCCCACCCTCACGTTTTCCTTAATCAACAATGTTATAAGTTTGACACACAAGTTCTTTCCCCTTCCACCTCTTCAGCAGCTGTGCTGCAGTCATTCCCCCAGGATTATTTCTGCAGGATTATTCAAAATGAAGCCAGACATATTTTGCTTTTGGCATGAATGAATAAAAGTCAAGGTAACAAATATATTTCACCACATTAGGGCTAAGTAAGTGTAGCAAATCACTATAGGAAAGGTTAATGTCACAAATTAATATGCTTGCTAAATTAATCAAAAGTCATATACCAACCAGCTAACTTGCTGACAGCAAGTCTTGTGATGTGGAGCTTGGGCAGCAGAGGGGAAGGGAGTAGGAAAACAACTAACTAAAATTATACAGGTAGCAGAGTAAAATCCACACTGCTACATGTGGACAGCACTGCCATGATTTCAAGGTTTGCATAAACATTGTCACTGCACCATACGTGTGGTAAGCTTAACTCCTGTCTTCACCGGCAACTAAAAGGGACAAAGGTGGGCCTCCTATGCAAAGTGCCTGCACAAGCAACCATAGCACATTTAACCACTTGCCAACATGTCTTCTGGTCCATCTGTAGTGCTCTCATCATTCACTATTTGAAAACACTGTGACCTGATGGATCTCATGGAGAATTTCCTCAGGCGGAAGGGGAGGGGTGATGTTTGCTGATTCCCCCCCCCCATACTGTTTGGAGAGAGGTGTCTTCTGCTCCCGAGAACAACAATTCAAAGTGTATTTTATACTGTAGTGGGATACGGGAGGAGATTAGAGATGAAGAACCTGTGGAAATTTTGAAGCCACAGATTTTTTCCCTTCTTTCAGAAAAAAATGGAACTTGGGAGGAAAACTGGAATATATGCACTACTACTCCTTTGTGCCTTCATTTTCTACAAGCAAGATGAAGAACCTGTGGAAATTTTGAAGCCATTTTTTCAGAAAAAAATGGAATTTGGGAGGAAACCTGGAATATATGCAATACTACTCCTTTGTGCCTTCATTTTCAACAAGCAAATTGCAAATATACCCAATACTTGAGAGAAAACTGCAAATTCATGCACCCTGTGCTGACTTAGCACATGTACATTAATTTTGCTACCTGAAAAGCAGAAAAGGAGAGTTAAACAGGAAACACAAGCTTTGTGGTAAATAACATATAATATAATATAAAATATTCAGAAAAAGTGTAGCTTAAAAAGTAAAAAATAATATCTGCACAGCTACATGTCGTTCCAGCTAACTGCTGTCTCCTTCCTTCTGTGGCTACTGATTAGAGAGCTCAATCCTCAGTGAAACTTTCAGAGTTTTCTTCTGAGGCTTTGGTGCAGTTTCTGCCCCATCTCCTTATGATCTCCCCCCTCCAGCAAGGTAAGGCAATAAGCTACTTGTTACCCAGACTGTGGATATATATCTCACAGTCATTTGAGGGAGAGGTGAAAAGGTAAACTAGAATGAGTCAGGTCAAAAGGACAACAGAAGGCATGCAACCACAAGCAATGAAAGCCTTTTATGCTCCCCTCGTGAAGGTTAGGTATCCTTCTAGGTGCAAAAATGCATCTTGGATTTAAGAGTGGTACATGTCTACAGTATACTCCCTTTCCCTTTAACAACATTTAACTCATTTTAAAAGAAAAATACTTTCATAGGAGCTTTTTCAATACTCCCCAATATTTCCAGTTTTTCCATTGGAAAAACAGAAAAAAGGGAGAGAGAAAAATTCCTCCCCTCCCATATCTTCACATTTCTAGTTCTGTGGATGGTACTCCCTTCCATCCATGGAGAGCCTCTGTGGGACCCAAGCCTGTATTTTAAAACATATAACTAACATTGAGTTTTAAAGGGAAAACGTCAGTTCAAAATGATCAAAACTAACAAGCAAACTTCATTCCACACATAAACACCTAGCATTCCTATCTGTCCCATGCTGCTGCTGGTAGTGACCATCACAGCACTGCATGTACACCAGCAACTATGCAAAGAAGCACGGTGATCTACCCTGGGGTGCCAACAGCCTCCCATAACTCATGGGAGGACCAATGGCTTGCAAAGTGGACAGTTGCCAGTTACGGTTATAACCCTATGTGCTTTAACCAGGTTGGAAGGCAAAATGTCATCGTGATCAATTCTCTGAAGAAGGCTGCATCACTTATGTACTGATAGTTTATAACTCTGGACAATAATCTAGGCGAGCCCTCTTTTCCTTTGCAATGTTTTTGCCAGGAGGAACCATCTTCCCCCATGGACACAATTTGTGGATCCCCAAGGCTCTTATCTGTGCCAATAACAGGGACCATCTTAGCAGTTACTTGAACCATTTTTGCTTTCCAGACAGTATTTTGGAGATCCTAAAACCACCTGGCAATGTTTACTCTAGATATTGTTTTAAAGTGCCACATTACATACTTTGGGTGAATAAAGCTTCTTTAAAGAAAAACTAGGTTTTTGTGGATTAGCCTCATCCTAATTTACTCTTCAATGTGGTTGTTGGATTAGTAACTTCTCTGAAGACAGAAGTCATACTGTTTGTCACCTTGGGTATTAAATCTGAACTTTTCCTCACTGCTCCTTCCCAATTCTCTTTAAGGCCTTGTTAAAAACAAGAACAATAAGCCAGAAGAACACTGCCTCCATAATGCCTCTTTCAAATGTACAAAGTGGCTGCAATCACAGCAGTTGGTAACTACAAACTTCAAGTTCTGCCTGTAGTAAGTGAATAAAGCAAGCTGCTTGGTACTTGGCCCATTATCATTCCCACAGCCTTAAAACAAGGCCTATATGGACCATTACAGTAACTTCCCTATTTATCTATGGATGTGAAATTGCCACAGAAAATCTCATGCCTTAAATATCTCCCTCATCAGAGAACCCCAACAAGATTCCAGCCCACATTGTCAACACTTTCACAATTTTTAAAACAATTCACCCCTGGCATTAATTTAAAGCAAGACACACAACAAGAAATAAAATGAAGAGAAAGAAATCTATTGCCAAACTGTGTGCATTCAAGCTGGAGAGTAGATACGAACTGAGGAATCTCCTAAAGGAAAGCAATATTTGCAAGGACTGGAAGAGATTCCAAAAACAAGACAGGTGAACTTTGGGTCTCTGAAGAAATATAATATGGTGGTTTGAAGAAGAGTGACAGAGACTCAAATGGGAAGATCAGCACAATAAGAGTGAAAAACAAAAAGCTGCAGCAGCAGCTTTGCAGAAGGACTGAATCTCTGCAGAGAGGCAAAAAAGTTAAAGATGATGTTACAAAAAGTGTAAACACTTTTGGAGAAAAAAAAACAAGAATAAAATTGGAAAAAGTGTTTTCCTGACCACAATTGTGGGGCTGGCTTTGAACCTGAGGTGATAAAGTGAAATATTTTAAACAAATACATACATAACAAGGGGGCCATTGAATGGAGCTAGTGGATAGATCTGGCAGTCTACAGCACTATGGATGCACTCAGGTGAAGCAGAACCATCATCATGTAATGTATATAGTACAATATAGTAATGTATAAGGATAAAGGGGAAGGGAGTGAGGAGCAGTTAGTCGGGAACGGTTGACTGTGGTGGGGTAGGGACCAATTGTGATTCTCAAGTCTAGGAAAAAATGTCTAGATAATGAGGAAGAGAGAGCAACAGGTAGAGGATCATTAACAGAAGTGTGGCCACAAAGGTATAGCCACAGGAGTGGGAGTTTCCAAGGAAAACCTAGAGGCACTGTGGGGTTGGGGGAACACCTGAAGGGTTGAACTGGCAGCAAGGAAATCCACTGGACTGGAGGAGGGTCCTCAGACAAGACAGCTGTCAAGAAGGAAAGTACTGTGTGGCATATTTTAAAGGAGGTATTGAGGGCACTCAAACTGATCCT